ATATTTGAACATGTGTATTAATAAATTCTGAAACCACAGCAGAAACTGTGACTGTAGACAGGTAAATAAAACTGACTCATCACCTTATAAATGTGACCTGTGTGACATTGGTAAAATATTGTTATTGCTACTTTAATATTTTGCCACAGAAGTTTGAATACTGAACTTGGTGAAGATTAGTCTGTATGTCCTCTACATCTTTACTTACAGGGCATCTGCTGAGTCTCTAAAAATGACATGTGATCTGTGAGAATCATAAGAATTAAATCAACCTCCTGAGGCTTTCTCCTTCCCTTGTGTCAGAATGCTACATGTTATAGCCCTAAGCAAAACAAGTCCATTGTAGTGGTCTGGTTTTGTGTCTTGTCGCTTTTCTGATAAAAAAAAGGTTATGCCTGGAAGGTGTGTTTTTTTCAAGTGAAGGAACTGAGGTAATTTAAATAATATATATAAATATATGTTATATATATATTAAATAATATATTTAAAAAACTAAATTACTATAGAAGAGTTTTCAGTCATGCTGTGATATCAGTTCAAACATTATTACTGAAAGTATTTTGAAAGTCATTTGACAGGGGCTTGCTCCCTTGCCCCAGTAGGACTGGGGGAAGAATAGGACGAGCAAAAGTGAGAAACTTGTGTAGTTGTGTGTTGGTAAGGACAGTTTAATGAGGGAAAGAAAGGAGAATAAATCCCCCAGGGAACATAGATCAATGCCTAGCCAGTCTCTGAGCAGACAAATCATCATCTCCCTTAGATTTTGTTGTTAAGTGGTGTATGTGGGAAATGTCGCTTTGGTCGCTTGGAGCCAGTTGTCCATCCCAGCTGCGTTCCCTCTCTACATTTTGTGCATCCTAAGCCCACTTGCTGAGGTGGCAATGAGAAACAGAAGACCCTGACATTGTGCCAGTGCTTAGCTATGGCTGGTATGTTATCAGCATTGGTTTAGTTACAAATCCCTTACAAACACTGCACCTTAGAAGCTGTTGGAAGACAATTAACTACATCTCCATTTGTGCTGTAAGATAAGCCAGCAGGAAAAATACTGGTCTGGTTTAACAGAGACCTTAGGCTCGAACTTGTGACAAAAAAAGAATGTAGTATGTCTGGAAGGATGAACAGGTAATTTGAGGGAACTACAAAGATGTTGTCAAGTATGTGGAGAGAAAATTAGAAGGGCCAAAACTAAACTGAACCTTAATTTGGCCACTGTGGTTAAAGACTAGGTGATCCTGAAGGTCTCTTCCAACTTTGATGATTCTGTGATCTCAGCCAGATGCAGTACACTGTTATTGCTGTAGTACAAAATACAGTAAAACTTTAAATTATCCATGACTCATGAGCCATGGCCTCTGACATGAGATCTGCACCAGTGCAAGACTGAAAGCTGGCTATACGTAGGTACAGTGCTAGCTAGTGTCAGAATTTGTCTTGGAACCATTAAGTTTTATTATGCTACAAACAATAATAGTATGTAAATTAACATGGTAGTTACAGGAAAAATTTTTGGCATTGCCTTGGTTATACAGCATTACTTCAGGCCATTGATCAAATTGTGTTAATTCCAGGATCAACGAGTGTCAGTATTTTGGGATGTGAAAGCCTTATTAATAGTGTGATGTCGGGATCTTTGTGCCACCAAGACTTCTTTGAGTGTTTCATTAAATATGACCTTCTAATTGAAATAAGACCTTTGTCTTTATGCATCTCAAAACTGGCAAAAGATGCAGTGCTAAGAAGTGGTTACATGCTGCCAGGACAAATTTGAAAACAATATATTCTTAAGAATGAATATTTGAGGTAGTGAAAACAAAGTAAAAAGGCTTGTAATAGAGATATCTCAGAATTACTTGTAACCCAACATCTATAATGTATATTATAGAAATTATATGGAGTTTGTTGATAATTCAACAGTTGCTAATGTTTGAAAAGGACTAGGAACTTTAAGGTAATTTTGTTAGAATTTTAAGCTTCTTTTTTTCTTGTCAGATCAGTGGTAGTTGCACTGGTTTGACAAGAAGAGGTATAGATTCGTTTCAGGAATTAATCAAGAATTCCTATTCTAGTTGGCTGGTAGCAGCAAAGTGTGTCCCACAGGAATAACTCTGATAGCAACATCTAAGTTAGGAAAATGGCTTTGCTAAAAAAATATCCTATACATTTGACAGCAAAAGTAAAAAACAAAGATAAAATCTCAAATCCTAGTGTTACTGGTACTAATAAAGGCATTGTTATAAATCAGTATAATACAGAAGTCATGTATTGCACTGATTTCATTTAGGTAGCTTGCATCACCTATGTATACTTATTAGTTTAAAAATAAACAATTTTGAAATACACAGAGGGGAATGTTTTCGTTCAAAATCCTGCAGCTGGCTCCAGAATGCGTTGGATCAAATTCTGAATCACAGAACAATGTTCTACTGCCTTCAGTACACTCATCAGCAAAACCTGTGTTGCTGAACTCTTGAGTCTGTACTTTTGAGTTTGGATATGGGTCTTTCCGTTTCTAAAAGCTGTGTGGCTTGAGACTGAACATTTCCGTATTTGGAGCATGAACTAACATATAAATTAGAGCACTAATAAGTAAACAATTTAGCACATGAGTACATTAGCGTATGATGGATGAGAAAATAACAGAAGGAAAAGCAACTTAAAATCATAGGGAGACTATAATTTTTAAGGCACTTATTTAGTGATAAAATTTATATCAAAACATTATACCAATAACGTGAAGGAAGGAGGTTCAAAAATAGCTAGTCTCTCAAAGTCCAGTTTTAAAGTCGGTAAAGTAGCCTTATTTTTCACATATGCTTTGTGCTCTGCATATGCTTTAGTGTATTTGAACTGCTCAAGGGACAGAGGAATTGAAGTGCAAGTCCTCCATATGAATGATCTTCTGTGATTATATATAAAGTGTATGCTTGCATATTAAAATTTATTCATTGCAATTTTCTCTTTCTGTGATTTTTGTTTAAACTTGCTTTTTCTTTATTCTTTTTTTAAATTTTTTTTCAATTTTTTAATTATTTTTAAAGAATTGATGCTATAGATTTCTCCGTGTCTTTCTGATGCCTTTTTTTCTGGCACCTTCATTTCTGGAATTGTGGACTAAAAGCCAATCACACTGGAGTTGCAGTTTCTGAATTCCACTGTTGCTATCAGCTTGCTCATTCATCATGAAATTCTTTTGGAATTTGGATATACCAATAACATTTATGTAATAATGTCAAATGACTATTGCCTGGCAGTGTTTCTGTATTTTCTAAGGCATTCAAGTGAATGTTTAACATTGTTTATTATCATGCTTTTTTTTGTCTGTTTTTGGTTTTTGTTGGTTTTTGTAGCCTTTTCAAGTGGCTTAGCAGGTAATTTTCTTGCTATTTTGCTCCTTTAATTTACATTTCCTCTTTGCATCAGGTTACACATGTGCGTCTTCTAGAGTGCTCACTAATGCCTGAGAGAGTTCTCTTTTTAGAACATGGAAAGCTGATTCAATTTGATCGAAAAAGTAAGGTTGAACTTATTTTTCCATTGTCAAATATATCTCCTATATGTTGCAAGAGCCAATTTACTCTTAGACCTTTGCAAATGCTAGAAAAACATGTGATTTAACTGTATTTTTCTTTTCATAGTGTGTGCTTTTGTTTTTGGGGCTCCCTCATCTCTAAGTCTATTTCCTTGTATGAGCTTAGTTCAAGTTGCTCCAGGTCCCTGCCCATTACATGTCAAGTTTCCTCATTTCTCTCAGCTCTGCACTTGCAGATAGGTTTATGTATGAAATAGTTTGTTGGAAATTCTGTGGTTGAAGGAACCCACACTTGAATCAGAAAATCGGACAAATTTCACTGTACCTGCTCTCCCCAGACTTGTGGCAGTGTATTTTTATTTGTAATGATTAAATTTTATTAAATACAGAAAAATGTTAAGTTGGGAAATGGTAGGAAAAAAATATCTTGGAATTGGATGAGTGTGCTGTGCGTTTGTTGAAATGTATCAGCAAATGCTCTCTGATGACTGTTTCAGATACACTAGAGGCTGTAGAATACTTTATCCAAAATGCCAATAAACAGGCTTCATAGTCCTGTAGTCATTTTCTAAGAGATGAAGGTATTCTGTAGGAAAAGAATTTTGAGGAGCTGATTGGCTGCTGTTGAGATCTGTCTTAATAAGATGAGCTTCACTAGGATGATCCAAAGAAAACCTTCTTTGCTCGTTTTCAGCTCACCCAAGGTGTTTGTGTTGACAGTCGTGGTTCTACTTGAGTCATGGAAGTTGAATATTCTAGGAGGATCTTCTGAAAATGGATTAGTACTCTTGTTTGCTAGTCAACAATTTTTAAATAAAATTGTCTTGCTCAGCTTTTGATGAAATCTTTTTGTCATAGTTGCATAAATATTAAACCAAAATTACTTCAGTTATAAAACTGATTAATTATGCTGATGTTTAATGTTATTTCATTGAACTAAAGAACCTAAGAAATAGGTAAGGTAGGAGCTTGGTAGCCAGGACAGTTTTGAATAACTCTCTCCAGGTGGGAAACAAAATTTCAGGTTTTGAATAAAGAGGTATACTGGTGTTTCTGCATGCAGAGAATGTCAATAAGCTTTTAAAAAAAAATCTCTATTTGACCACAATGAAGCCTGACACATTCTTATTTCAAGAACATTTCTGTTAGACTGGGTCAGGAAAGGATTTTGATTCTGTAGAAGCTGCTTTGTCTTATTAATGACGGCATTATAAGAATAGTTACTTTGCTAAAGACATACCAAAACATTATGTACATTTAAGAACATTTTTTGGTTTACTGTACTAATTCATGTTTTGTGTTCGAAGTAGCATGTTATTTGATATTCCAGCACATATCCTGTTGAACCAATAACACAGAATGAAGATAAGTCCCATCTAAAGGAGCTTAGTCTAAATTATACTGGTTTTTCCATCTTATTTGCACTATAAAAAAATAACAGTACAGTATTTTTGCTTGTGTCATCTAGTCTCTAACTGGAGAATTACATCACAGTGTACAAGAGCTGTACAAAAATCAAACTGGCAAAAAAACTGGGAGAAACGAAAGCATGCAAAAAGGGTCTTTCCCAAGAGAGTTTTCAGTTAGCACCATCTATCCTCAATGTTTCAACAAGTGATTTTTATGAAATACTACAAGAAGGAGATGATGAGGTAAGTTATTTTAAGGACTTCAGTAAAAAAAAGCATAGATGAGAAGATGCAGAAATCAGGAAGGATTTAATATAAATGAAAAAGTCAGGTTAGAGATTCATAAGGTGGCAAGACTTACAGTATGCATAAATATACACATACTGCTTTGAGCATGTGTATTTAGAGATATTATTCACTATTTTCCTTTTTGTGAGGCCATTTGGCAGGATTGTATGTTTTAAATAGACTTCTGCATTAAAGGAAACAAAATTAGAATGTATGTCTTGCTGTGCCAGATTGATTTTGTTGATACTTCCTCTCTGAATTGTGATACCTATTAAAGGTATTTCTGGTAGATAGATGGTTTCTGGGTGAATTCATAGTAGCCTTTTTTGTTGATTCTATGATACATTTGTTTCATCAAATCACTCTATTAAATATATGCAGTGATGGGATTTCTTATCCAGGTTTATTTAGTCCTGATCAAATAATATATGAAAAAGCCTGTACAGCAAGTGTCTAGGAGCTGGCCATTATTGGCCTGTAACAGTACTCTGGTGATTTAGCCTTGTTGAAACTTTATATTAAAGAGCCCACAAAAAGGAAGTTTTCCTCTTGGTGAAACAACAGTTGCATGGGATGTGTGTGCACTGATAGGGATTACACTCATGAATACAAATAAAATGGGCTGATCCCTGCCATGTTTACTAACATTTATACAACCCTATAAAGTGATTCACTTTGACAGAGTTGTTCCATGCTTATCTCATTCTCAGAGTAATTTCTACATCCTGTATCTTTTTGTTTCAGTCACTGTGAATATATGTGTAAAACACATAAACATACTTAACTATAAATATAAACCGAATTTATTAGACAGGAGATGAATTTACACTACACATACACTACATATTCTATCTATCAGTGCATGGACTCAGGCACTTTTATGTTGAACTCATACAATTTAGATAAGATCTCACATACACCAGTATATTCATATGGAAAGAACATGCTATGCACATTTCTAGAGGCATGCATAGACAAGGGTAGGTTTAAAAATTTAATAGAGCACTGATACTTGATGAGTATGCTTCAGATAACTAATTTTGCAAATGTGATTCCAACTTCCACATGCTCTATATTTAATGTATACCTAGTTACACATTTCCTTTATTGCTCCTGATGTTTCTATATTTTTGGGAAACAGCAGAAACAGAAATGGAATTTGAAAAAGATAAAGAATGGCTACAGCATATACAGAAACTTCTTGAAGGACAGGCACTCAATTTGTATAATCCCACAATGAATTATAACTTTCTGCTCTGATCAGCTATGTGTTTTTAGGTTGTAATTAATACACTGTATTTGCAATTATGGTGTCATTGATGGCCTCAAACTATACTGTGATGAGCAATGTGAAATCCATGTTTTGTAGCATTTCCTTTGTATTTCTGTTAAAATCAGAGTTACTGTGTAAAACTGAAGAGATGTTAATCAAGGATTTGTGATATCTAACTTAACAGCTAACTTAAGCTAACATAACCAGTAAAACAATGCTGGAGAAAACCAGCACAGGTCTTGGCAAATGTGTTAATTGAATTATTGAAACACTGTATAACGCTTGCTAGAGTGAAAATTATCTGTTCTCTCATAACTCTTAGGAAAAAGAGACTTTTTTTTATGTGCCTTTAAAGTTACTAGTTGTTATGGACACCTGAGGAGTTCATGGGTTTCTGTGACCTTTTACTGTGGACCTGTTTCCAGTCAATTCATGTTTTCCTCATAGCCAGACAGCTGTTTATTATCGTGTCTTCTCGTATTCTCTACAATATTTTCTACTGAGACCTCGAGCAGCTTGTTAGTGGGAAGTAAATATTGATTTGGCATCCTGTCAATGCAGAAAGAATGAAAAAATTTCCACCAGAGGCCCCTCAAACATTTTCCTATCGACATTTTCTGGGCAGAGAGGAAAGCTGCATAGAGGATGACAAGTCTGAGACTAGCAGAAATCCCTGAGGGGTCCATTGAGACTGCTGCTGTGACCTGTGTGATACTTTTTCTTCTCTTTCAAGTCTTTTTTTTTAATACACACAGAGTCTGCTGGGATGCTCCCCTCTTGTAAGTGATCAAGGGCAGTTTATTGGCAGGTGAGAGCCCAGCTTTTCTACCCGTAGTCAGCTTTTGTTTGGACATCACTGACAACATACCCTTACTCTTAAAACTTTTCTGCTACATTTTTAGTTTTCTCTTTTATTTAAATGATGGGCACCTGATGTCTGGAAAGAAATAAAACTTGATTTATAAATCCAGTGCCTAATGCATATTCACTAGCATGGGTCCATTAGTGATGTAGTTAGTATCAGTTAAGAATGTGAATGATAGAAAATATTTTGAAAGCCATTTTGAAGAAACACACACATCAGATTTATGTATTTAACCATCAACAACTTTTGTGTTGAGATTGTATCTTGTGGCCAGATTTTTAAGAAATGACAGGTTTTCCCTTTTTCGTTATCAAAACTTGCTACTGTGAAGACTGCTTAATTGCTGCAGCAGAGGAAATAGAAATAGTAAAATGCTTTTACTGGCTTTGTCAAAAAAAACGGCATTTTAATTAAACCTCATAATGCTACATGAAACTCAGCATTAAAAGCACAATTCTTTATATTCACTTAATTGCTTAATTAATTTTAAGAATTAAAAAAAATATATATAAATGTCAAGATTCTGTTCATATTATAGGCTCCAAAATATGAATCAGATCCATGGAATACAATGAAGATTTCTTGTTCTGTTTTTCATTGTTGTTTGGTAAATCGCTAAAAAATATTCAGCAGAATTTTATCACTTTTCTTCATCTGCTATACACAGACAGCAAAAACCAGGGGATGGAGAGTGAAGGAGCTGTTGAATGAAACCAGGTATATTATGATTGCAAATGTTGTATAAGGATAGAAGAGCTCATTGTTCTTAGCCATGTATGTTTGTGTACAAGTTAATAGTGATTTTCTGTGATTTTTGCTCCATCTTGTGGGGTTCCTCAGAAGAAACACTGAGGGTAGAAGTAATTTTTGGCAAGCAGACCATTTTTAGAATTGCAAGAGGATTATAGTGGTTTTGGGGAGCAGCCAGCTCCGCTTTTCATTTCTGTCCATGCTAAGGCATATAAATGGAAACAGTTAAGATTTCTTCATCTGTATTTGAGAGCAGCTCATGGAACAGCTCTGTGCCCTTTAAAATGCTTTACTCAATATCTTGCAGAGTTTGGTTTTGGTTTCTTTTAGTAAGCTTTGGTAATATTTCTGATCAGCAAACTAAAGCCCACAGTGAAATGTAAGCTTTCTTCAGGGCTTTGCTCATAACAGACTGCCTGCTAAGTGTTACATGTTGGCAAACTGTGCTACCCATTTGCATCTTGAACAGAGATGCGGGATTGCCCTTTTCTGTTTTTCTGAGTAAACGTTCAGTGGAAAATTGCATCAGATCACTTAATATTGCAGTTTGATATAGTGTCTTTTTGTGCCATTTAGCCAGGACTTTGAAACATAATTGCCCAGCAGTATTGATTTAATTGCCGAGGTTTATTTGTGGTCTCCTAATTATTGACTGGAGGTAAATTTAATGGAGAAACCTTTATGAACACTGGGAAACTGCTGCTATTGCTGTTATACATAATGAACTGCATCATATCCCTTTAGATCATTCTTCAAGCTAATTTTATTCTACTGTGACAGTACGATAACATTTAAAATGTCATAGACATTTTATTTTTATTACTGACATACGCCATTTTACTGCTGCACTAGAATTTTGGGGGGGACTGAGTGAAGCACTCGTTGCTTTTTACTGTCATTTTATAGATTCCCCTAAAGTGAAATGATAAAGGATACCACTCTGTTTTCACTTCATCTGTACCTTTATTTTCCATACTCTTATGACTTGGAAAAGTCTCATATCTTTCAGCTTTACAAGATTATTAATATTTTAGTGATAAATACTCCTGCATTCCTGAAACTGACAGATACCAGCCAGAATTTGTGTCCTTGTTTTATCACCTATTATTTCAAGAAACTAGACCACTACTAAGAGGCTTATGGCTTGAAAGAGACATCTCTGCATAGTGATGTTATTATGCAAACAGGAATATTATTCCTGTTTATTATGCAAATAGGGAAGTACAGTCATGTTATAAACTCAGCAGAGCTGGTAAAAATCACTTGTTGTCTACATCTACGTCTTTAATGGCCAAGAGTGGGTTTTTTTCCTGCTGTCTCTGTATTTATACAGTAACACTCTAGATTGTTCTCACTAAAGAATGAAAGAATAAAAATAAATCATCTCAATAATTGACACTGGGATAAAAGGAAAAGGTTCTCTGGCCTGTGAAGAACCTGTATGCAGACAGTTTTCACATGACTGCATGAAAATACCTGCCACCTGCACATGTGTAGAGGCATCAGACTAATTACACATTACTGTTTGGGCTTGGGAGAATTCTCGTGTTATAGACGTTTAAGCTTTTAGTGGTTTATATTATTTAGGGGGGAATAAGTATGATCATTTCAACATGTATGGGTATTTACATCCTGCCAAGCAAGTTATGAGGCTGTTTATCCCTCACATCTGAGTGTGTATGTCGTATTAATTTACCCTGGCTCTTCATAGTAACACTGTCTTCTTATAATCATAAACACTCCCCCTAAAACTCAAACAAAAGCAATCTTTTCTAGCTTTTTCCCATCATAGAAAACTTACGGCTAAGCCAAGAGGATGACTTCTTCTCATGTAAGTTAAACATGATTTCTTACACTACCCTTGGCTTTCATTTACTGTGACTTATTGTAAGGCACACTGTCTCAGAAAAATCTGTTAATGATTTTGTGTGTGAATGCAGCATGGTAGCCCAATCCAGATTACTGCCTCCAAGAAGACTCCAAGAATTTTTTTTTAATAAAATGCAAATCATATGCCTAAGTTTTTACAGCAGCACTTGCCTTTCCTCTCTTCTCATGCACTCCTTGGGATATGACATCTCACACTAACAAAGCAGTCTAATAAAATCTTTCCTCACGTGACTTCATTATGGGTCTAAAAATCATATGCCAATAGTGAAAACCTCCAGAAAGGCTCCCTTTCCTCTACTCTGGCAGCACTCTTTGTGTGACACATCTCTAGCATAGGGTTTAGAACTATATATTCACTAATCATCAGTAAGGATTTTCCCCAACCCCTTTTTAGGATTTGCACAGGCTTCTAAAGGCATATTTCTGTTGCTGTCATCTGGAATGGACACTAATGGCAACAGTTATTTCCTTCCAAATTTCTTGGCTTGAAACTTGCCTGCTTTGCTTTTGTTAGTCTCTCTGCAGTCTGTGTGTGTCTTTGAGCAGCTCACACCCAGAAATGTGTATTCACCAAAGTACCAACACCTGTGCACAATCACCACTGACACCATCACCTGGTGTTTCAAGTGTCTGCACCTCACAGCAGCAGCAGCACCAGCACAGCCTGCACCGCATTCTGGGCACCATTAGCACTGATACCAGGTCAGATTTTCTTCTCATTATGAGAGCAAGAGCCTAATCCTGTGCACTGACAATGCATTATGGTATAAATCTATGTTTTATCTCATGCACACAAAAAAACCTACATTGTATCACTCATCCTAAACTGCAAACAAGGAGAAATTGACTTGGTCGCTCAGGATAAAAGGCACATACATATTTATATAATGATGTATATGCAGCCACCATGAAGCAGAATAAGAGCAAAGGGTAAAACAACAGTAAAGTGAAACTTTTTTTTTTTTTAAATTTTTGACTTTTATTTTTTTGTGCTTTTAGGATGTTTTAGTTGTTGGTCTTAGTGCCTGGTTTTATTTCATATTATTTTTTCTGGTTCACTTAATTCAATCTAAGGCAGCTCTGCAGTGTGTTTGAATAATATTTTGTTGGGAAAATGTATTGTACTGATATGGATCCATATGGGAAGGTGTGAAATAGTTGTAACCTCTAATTTGTCTATTCCAAAACCTAAATACTTTTATATTTATGCTAACATATTTTAGAGTTTGTGAAACAGAAGTCGAAGTAATGCTCTACTCTGCAAATGGAGATACTGTGCCTCATTAGAACAAAAACATTGCCTTGCATTCATTATAATACTTTCCACTGGCAGATTGGTGTATATTTATTCACTTGTATTTATGCACTCTGTGCTGACAGAGACTCAGCCATGTGCTTTAAGGTCAATAAATATTACTAGTTTGTTTTTTTACAGAAGGGATCTCCAAAAGAAGCAAATTTAGGGTCAGAATAAATAGGCAAGAGAGGGAGAATTAACTATCACTATTTCTGGCTCTTTAGGATCACATTATCTTCCATTTATCTGTACACCAAGATATCTGTCTGATAAGTTGTGTAAGAAATATGCTTTTCAGTTATATACATTCCTATTATCAAAGAAGAAATTTGTCAATCTAGGAAGTCAAATAAATAAATAAATAATTTTATCCCAGATGTAGTTTGCACATTCAGATATTGTGAAATCACATGAATCAATTAAATACTACTTCTGTTAAAGCCTACAGTTATGTACTGATTTAGGATCACCACAATTAATTTTAAGTGGGTTGTAGCCCAGATAATTGTAAAAAATCTGAAAGAAGTATCATTCTGTATTAAAATATCTCATGATCAGTGGTAAAAACAAGCTTTCACTCCTTAGGTGTGTGCTTAGCACTCACTGAACTTGCAAAGCCTTTCCCAAGCATATGGCAGGTTTTGAAGCTGGTATGAATGCTTTAGAGTAGAGATGACTTCAGTGGTTGTGAAGTTCTGGGGAGAAATGCAAAGGAAGGTTTCCCAGGATAGTTACAGAATCATCATTAAAAGTAAATCTGACAAGCTTCTATTAAAAGTTAAGACTGTACGGATCATCCAGTTCTGGGCGTCTGCAAGAAAAGAAAACCAGAGAGAAACATACAGCACTTTCTCTGAAACCAAAAAACGTTGAAAGAATGACATAATGTTCCACTTTCAAATGCTCTTGATTTAAATGAATCGCTTGAATGGCAAGAGTTCTTGAAAGATCACTTTGCTATGACATGGAAGCCACAGAGAGTAGCGGGCAGCAAGTAAAATGTAGTTAGAATGATACAAGCTAGAGACATCAATAAAAAGCCATTCATCTCTGGCATGGCATTAAGGAGGTGAAATGTATCAGAAATTGATGTAGTCAAGGTAAGCAAGAAGAATTAGAGACTTTGAGGTAATGATGCAGTTTTTTCTCCCTAGAAAAAAAAAGGGAGAGAAATTAGAGTGAACAGGATGCTGGAGTCAGTGTTTTTAAAGCATAGTAGCAAGTAAGTCACAGAATTTCAGATAAGACTATGTCTTATATTACACTGAATAGGTTTGTGCTCAGTGAATTTGAGCCCTCTATTCCCCAAAAAGTCGTCACAATAGCACACAGGAGAAAGCTGACAGGTGTAGATGTCTTCTAGAAATTTCTTACCACACACGTAAGTTATTTGTGAAGATGGAGACATGTCTGGCCAGCAAGCACCAGCCCTTGAAAACCCCTTTTCCTGCAGAAAAGAAAATAATGCATATTGTTGTCCTTTTTCTATAACTACAAAGTGACAGTTGAGCAGCACTTAGGATGCCATTTTATCTCTTCACAGTACATGCCTTCTATTAACAAGACTTTTCTTTTTTAGATTTTTTTCTGACTTGTTAGCAATTATAAATATCAGTATATAGATTCGTGTCTGTATATCAGTTCAAATGCTACATTTTGTATTTGATGTGCTTTATGTCTGGGTTTTTTATTTGGGTTTTTTGGTTTTGTTTTTTTTTTTATAATTTTTGATTCATGTCTATTTAGGAAACAAGCACTACTCTATCTGGCATAAGGACCATACAATTTTCTCTTTCAGATGGCATAGAGAAGTGAAAAAATTAAACTAGAGCAGCAATACTGAAGTGTAGAACTAGACAGGAGTTCTAGGTGGAAAAGTGTTGCTTTGAGCTAAATTTGTGAAAAGCAGAAAATTATGATTGGCCAGCAGCTTGTTCCACCAGCTTCTATACTTTACCTTATTTATTTATGGTGGCTTTACAGTGTAAAGTTATCTCTCCTTCTGAATGAGATGTTACTTTTGGTGGAGTACTGACCCCTCACTCACCACTGGTCTCACCATGTGTTCAGTAAGCTGACAGAGTTCTGTGAAGCTGATAGAGACTTTTCAGCAGTGAAGGAAAACTGTCCTGTTCTCCTCTGGCACAGGACTGGCCACTTGGGATGGAGCTGCCACGACCACTCTTCTGTACCACCTCTAAAAATACTTCCCAGCAAACTGTGCACTGATATACCAAGATTTTGAAAGAAAACCTCTTTAAGCATTAAAGCAATGACACTGAAAAATGTACCAAATTTCCTTTGTAGACATTGGCTGTGCAAATGCATCTTTTATATCAGAGAAGTTAAAAAAAGTTTTAATTTTTCTCCATAGATATGTCACTGCAATTTTTTGGTATCATGTTTTAGAGAAGCAGACATTTGTGTCATATTCTAATTAATGCAGTTGGAGGTTTGGGATTTTACTTTGCTTTGAGAGGTTTTTTTGTGGTTTTGTTTGTTCTGTTTTGGGGTTTTGTTCTTATTTGTTTTTTGGGATCTTTTTTTTTTTTTGTTTGGTTGTTGTTGTTGTTTAATTATTTACAAGGTTTTGTGTGTGAGTCTAAGGCAATTTGCTACAGCATTGAGAATTATACTGGTAGTTCTGTCTCATCCTCCTGAGGATAGTGAACTTACACTCATACACTACCATTTCTGCATGCCCTAGAAGTGACTGTAACCTTTTATTGATCAGCTGATTGAAGATAAATGACAGAGATGCTGGTACTGCAGTTTACATCATTAACATGGTCAGTAAAGCATGAATTGTTCAATAAGGAGTTTATCTTTTTTCATTTTACACTGCTCTTTTATAATTTTTATGATAGAGAGCAAATTTTCAGACACTAACCTGGCAGATGAACTTTAAAGATCAGAAATGTGTGTGTGGTAGTTGTCAGAACTAAGTGAAATCTGATAGTTTAAAGATATTTAATAAAGGTATTTCACAAGAAAAAAATAAAGTTTAGTGATCATTTTTCTTACTCTGTTTCTTTTCAGTTTCCTTTTGCCTCAAACTTAATGGATGCTATACTGGAAAATTAAATGAGAAGAAGAAATTGGTAGAAGAGTACAGTTCCCTCATGAAGCACACTGTATGATATTGCTAAGATTTATATTTGCAAAGTGTGACTGAAATGTGTGCTGTTTCCTCATGTCTTTCCTCTTCTCACAAAGAACTGTCAATATGCATGTTCAATACATACACAGAAACCATGAACTAATTAATTGTTGAACAAGAGGAATTAATTAAATTCCTATTAGAAAGCAGTGTGGTATTTGATTCCTGAAGAGAAAAATTACTGCAAATCAATGCAAAGCTCGAAATTATTTTCCTTTAAATGCATTGGCAGTGAACACATGTGCAGGCTTTGCAGAGAGAGGATGTCTTTGTTATGAATAATACACATCTGTACAATTTTGAAAGAACAAAAAGCAGCCAAGTAACATCTGATTGTACTAATCAGAACCTTAGAAGTAGGATTTATAAAGGAACTGGGAATATCACTGAGATTTTGAATACCTAATTTCTTTTCGTTTCTTTGTAAAGCCAAATGTTTTGATATATGCTACGTGAAATGACATGCTTTTATGTTCGAAAAAATGAGTGATTGCACAATAAAAATGTCCTGTGTGGAGTAATGCAATGAAAGCAATGTATTTTAAAAAATAGAATAAAATAAAGTTTTTTCTATTATGGTTTTTTTCACTAGTAGATCCAGTTGTTTCTCAGCTAATAGGTAGCTGCAAGCTCTCACTTGCCTTGGGGAACTAGTGTAGAATTTTAGCCAGTTATTTCCACCAAGATTTCTCTGGCACTACTAACAAATAACTGCTGGTTCTTCACACTTTTGATCTTAGACTTTGAATTCCTCTGGACAAATCTACCTGACAAAAAATAAGACACAAGTTTCTGAGTTCATGTGTTAATAATATTTCGCTCCTATATGTGTCTCATTTATGGATATCAAGTTGTTTTACAACAGATATCGTTATCCATATTGGTGAGGAATCAGAATATGGATTAGACTAAGTTCACTTAGATGAAGCATGAAACGGAGGTTTTCTGCATGTCAGTCCAGTGTTTTCCAGTTTATGGAGTTCGCTATTTGGTGTCTCTGACAAAAGGAAGAGGTCTCTAAACTTCTGCTCAGTTGCACCTGGTGAACACAAGGGCTTGAGAGAATTTTTATTGGAATTAGAGAAAATCATGCAAACATACTCCACCTACACCTGTAAATTAAGACTGGGAACTATCCCTGTATAAAAAAACCTGCACATCTTTAGGAATGGCTGATCAATGCAAGAAATAAGGGCCATCATATGAAATTGTGTGGTGATATATTCAAGTAAGCAAAAGGATGCCACCCACATGCAAATGAAACTGAGCTGTTGGAACTGTTTGCCTCAGGTTTTACAGAAGCTAAACATTTACATGGACTCCAATGCCAATAAAACAATGACAACAAAAATTAGGGAAGATAAATCCATCAAGACATGTGGAAACCATGCTCTAATTTTGTTCAGTAATTCCAGCAAAGTGTATTTGAACGTAATTTCATCAAAATGTCTATTGCAGCTTAGTGAAAAGAGCTTCAGGAGGCCAATGATCTCTGAAAATTATCCCCACTGTCTTCATTTCCACGTTGCCAAACATGCACTGGTGCAAGTCTAATCTTGATGCTGATCTTTAACACTTGATCTTTTGTCATAGTGAAAATGCAGGGAGCATCAGCTAATTCATGTAGAAAATACATCTCAAAAAGACGGAATTTTCCAGACTGCTGTCTCTTTCTCAAATATCTTGCTTTACTGCCCCTGCAAATTTCTGTATCTCCTGGGCAACTGGGTACAAGAAGACATCTTCTGTTGATGCAAGAGTAAGCAAGAACACTGCATAACCAAATTACTATCTATTTCACCTGAAAAGAGAGAGCAAACTTAAATCCTTAAACCCAGCTGGAGACAGATTTATGCACAAATGTTCCTGAAACTGTAACACTGCTGTCTTTCTGAAAACTTCACTGGAAAGTTTGCCAAATACCATTAAAATGCCTTTAAAAGATTAAGAAAGATGGTATTTTCATTAAAAAATTATTTTCTTCTCTAATTTGATATAAACAAATGAAGATGGAAATACCAGTCAACATTTTTCAGACATAAAAAGTCATGTAGTTAGAGAGATATTTGTAAGGACAACAAAAAGGATGATGCTTCAAAGAAAATAAATTTTTGCCTTTTGCTGACACAAATGTTGAGTTCTGTCTGCTATGAACATACTTGTTTTTACTACTTATTTGATCTTTCTTGCACCAGCCGAACAGGAGATGGTCTCTGAAAAGATCTTTATTAGTATAAAAAGATTAAGATTCATTATTTTGGTTATATTTGATCAATATTTTTTAAATTCCCTTTCACTATAACCAAGCTCATTACACTGAGTGAGGAATTGATTCTGATTTGGGGAAAAGCATCAGCTCAACACTTTCAGATGATACTGCTAACAAAGCTAAACATTAAATATATTAAAGACAGTCCTCTTTTGAACTAACTATGCCTACGGACATCCAGAAAATCCACTTAATTCTGTTTTTTCTTTTGTTAGGGTGGTTTTCCTCTCCTGGTGCTGCCTGATGCGGCCTCTAGATGGCAAACTTTCCCAAAAAATGGGCTCGGAGCGTTGATCCCTGCTGAGCTGCTGTGCCAGGCAGGCCTGTCCCTCCCTCGGGCACCAGCAGCTGGCGTCTGTGCATGTGGAATTAATGGGCTGTTTACGTATAGACGCATTAATGGGCTGTGTCCTTACATACAGTGACACAAGTGTGAGATAACTTTTATAGTCATACATATATATAAAATTTTATATGTATGTATATAGAAGCGCGTGTGTGCGTGTGTGTGTGTTTATGCACGCGTCCATTAAATATGAAATATGCAAAGCTGTACGGTGGTTCAGAGTTGTTTAAATGTTTAGCCCTTTCAAAAATCTTCATTATGCACTAGCAGGTCCACAGGAGGGTGTGAGAGACTGAAACGTTGATGGTTAATGTCTCAGACAATCTGGGTGTTTTGCTGTTGACACTCAAGAAACAGCCTGTGTGCAGCGGGTGTGAGCACCAGAGGATGACCAACAAATCAACCTTTGCTTAGCAAGAAGCTGGGGTTTGAGCCAGAGAAGGGAAGAGCCTGATAAGCAGATCCTGCGAGGTGGGATAACGCTTTTAGTTCTAGCAGTGTCATCCCTTACACAGCTGGCTCAGTTGTAACACTCCTCTCCCCACTCCTGCCAGGAAAAGCTGCTGGGACATTCACATTAATCATCCCTTCTGATGGAGTGTAGATGGCTCTATTATACTGACGTGAGAGAAGGTGTCATAAACCATCAAAGACCTCCAAAATGCCCCCAGAGTCATTTCTGGGGCCTTCCAGAAGAGGAATGGGGATAATCCACAGTTTTACAACATGATTTACAGTTTTGCATCAGACAGTGTAAAAGTCCCCACCCCAGGGGAAGTACCTGGGTGTTCCATCTGAACTTGAGTGTGTATTAACCCACTGAAATTTGTTTTGTGTGGTCTTCCCCTACCCCAGATCAATAAAGACTGTGGCCATCGCTTCGACCAATGGACATCAAAATTAGAACAATGAAGTCTCATTGATGGATCCACAGGTGGTGATGCTTTTCTACCATTATCCCTTCTTTCTCTTTCTTTCTCTCTTTCTTCTCCTAATTTTTCTCAAAATATATTGTAAGCCAGACTAAAAAATTCCAGTCAATGCCTTAGGAAGTGCCTTGTTGTGTCTGGATAGGCTGAAACTGGCTAATTGTAAATTCGCTAAGCTCAAGTTTGTGAAGTGCCTTAATTACTTTGTTGGTGTTTTAAAATTTGCCACATTGCCCAGGGTGGATTAAACAACATTCCCCTAAACCTGCTGAGCTTTAGGGGAATAACTGAGAGCCACCAAGATAATCTGGGACTGGAGCACCTTTCCTGTGAAGAAAGACTAAGAGAGTTGGGGTGATTCAGTGTGGAGAAGAGGAGGTTCTGGGGAAAACTTAGAGCAGCCTTCCAATGTGTAAAGGGGGCCAACAAGGAGGCTGGAAAGAAAGGCTATGTTGTAGTAGCAGGACAAGGGGGAATGGCTTAAAGCTGAAGGAGAATGTGTTTAGGTTAGATATTAGGAAGAAATTCTTTACTGTGAGGATAGTGAGGCACTGGCACAGGTTGCCCAGGGAAGTTGTGGATGCCCCATCCCTGGAATTGTTCAAGGCCAGGCTGGGTGGGGCTCTGAGCAACCTGTGGAAGGAGTTTAGAATGATGATCCTTAAGGTCCCTTCCAACCCAATCCATTCTATGATTTTGGACTTTAAAATGTATAAATGAGAGTCAAAGTATCTGGTAATCGTCACTTCTCACAGTATGTTTCTGTAATGCCATCTGTTTAACCCACACAAATCCTAATTTACCTTGACAGGAATAAAGATACGAGTCTTCCTAAATATACATCTCATACAAATGAGATCCATTTTCTTCTGTACTGAGGATTCTTTGTTAGAGAAGGCACTGTGTGTATCTCCCATGTGCCTCTGGACTTCCTCACTGTCTGAATGGGTTGCAGTTTTCAAGGCCAGATATTCTAAATGAGACTGAAGTGTAAGACCTAAGAGGAGGAGGAGTTCAGGGAGATATTTAAAACATCTCAAAGTATTCATATAGCCACCATTAATATCTCATTTTTTGTATTCTTGAAAGAAAGAAACTTGATTGAACCATTATTTTTTATCTGTAGTGTCTGTGTTCTCACACATAGAGTAAGGATCTAGTTTTGACGTTTTCTGATTTGTGATTTGAGAATTTGCAGTGTGTAACTATTTGAAATATCTTGTAACATAGTAAGTGATTGAGAGATCTGGAAACACTTATTGGCTTCTGCTATAATCACATACTTAGAAATTAGTGTTGCTGGCTATGTTAAGATTTGCTTTTGTCTTCAGGATTGCAGAAAGGCTGTGGAGTCAGGAAGGTCTGAATTTTAATTCTGTTATACCTTCAGCTAGGTTAATTCTCTTTTCTGTTTCACTTCTACAACTGAATTAATA